AGAGCATCTCTCTGCTCTGGATCCCTTCTTTCAGGGAACACCTGACTCTCCTTTAAAGGGCTCACCTGCTCAGGTCAGGCCCACCCAGGAGCATCAATCTCCCTTTTGATCAAGTCACGTCAACTGATGAGGGAACTTAGCTAAACCTGCTAACTTCATTTTTGGTTAGAAGCAAGTCAGAGTTTCCACCCACACTCACACAAGGACAGGGGTTACACCGCACTGCAGCTCCCTGGGTGAGAACCCAGGGCCATTGCAGAATGATGCCTACCACCCCACCTCTCCTCTGAGTGCTCCTTCTGATCTCAAGGTGCCCGTGCCTGACCCCTCGTATCTCAAGCTCAGTCCTTCCACGGTGTGGCCTGAGGGTTAAGAAGCCCCCAAACACACTCTCTGCAAAGCAGAAAAGAGGTACTGATGACCACACAGCTTTGAGACTTGCAGGAGTGAGGGCAGAGTAACAAGCAGCGGAGTGCCCAGCCGGGTGCCAGGGGGCCGCTCCTTACGGGGGCCACAGCACGAAGCAAGCACATCTTCCATCTTTATTTTTTCTTTTTTTTTCCCCATCTTTATTTTTTCTAAGATTTTATTTCTTTATCCATGAAAGACACACAGAGAGAGGCAGAGACACAGGCAGAAGGAGAAGCAGTTTCCCCACAGGAAGCCAATGTGGGCATTTTCTATCTTTTTTTTTTTTTTTTTTTTTTTTTTTTGGCATTTTCTATCTTTAAAGAGCTCTTGGGACGCCTGGGTGGCTCAGCGGTTGAGCCTCTTCCTTTGGCTCAGGGCGTGATGCTGGAGACCCGGGATCGAGCCCACATCGGGCTCCTTGCGTAGAGCCTGCTTCTCCCTCTGTCTGTGTGTCTCTGTCTCTGTGTCTTTCATGGATAAAGAAATAAATAAAAAAAAATTTTTTTAAAGAGCTCTTTATGAGGGGCGTCTGGGTGGCTTAGTGGGTCCTGGGATTGAGCCCCATGTAGGGTACAGGGAGTCCACTTCTCCCTCTCCCTCTGCCCCTTCCCCCTGCTTGTGTGTGTGTGCTCTCTCTCTTTCTCAAATAAGTAAACAAAATCTTAAGAAAAAAAAAAAGAGCTCTTTATGCAGTTGAGACTACTACACTGGCCTGCTCGTTCTATTTCTCTATGAGGATATTAGCCACATCACAGAAAATACACAGACAAGCGGATTGCAAGCCAGTATAAAAATTTAAACTATAATATTTATATTTGTGTTTGTGTCTTCCCAGAGTTTTCACATCGCGTGGATGAGATGTGTGCTTAACAGGTCAGCACATACTGGCTTTTTACCCCCAATTTTGGATTCTTTCTCCAAGTGGGGCTTAGAGATGGAATTCCTGGTGACGGCATGTGAACATTTTCACGACTGTTGGGACATTTTCTGGAAGGCTGGTGCCGAGTTTTATGCTGTGATTTGGGATTTGCTTGTTTCTCTGAAGAGAAGGCTGGGTGGAGGGCCTGCGGCCAGCCTGGATAATGACCCAACTCTGTGCCCAGTTGCGACCTCACAGCACCCTCCAGGGGCAGATGACAGGGGTACAAGGGCAGGGAATGCCATTTTGCTCTGGTCCTCAAGGGCGCTCCTGGAGTGTGGGCATGGAAGGGACGGGACAGAGCCGCTGAAGCTTGTGTGCTGAGTTCTGGGGTCAGGAGAAGTGCTATTGCACCCCAGGACGTGGAGTGTTCTGACTCCCTCAAATTCTACTCTGTGCCCCTTGATCATAAACACCCAAGTGTCCATTTATAGAAAGTAACTGTGCGACAATCCCGTGAGGTGTCTTGGGTGCTTACTACCTGTTGCCAGGCCCATTTCACAGAAGAGGCTTGCAGAAGTGCTGTGCCCAAGGTAAAACTGGTCTCTATTTCTCAGGTTTGGGGTTTTGCAAGAGCCAGACTGCCTTTTCTCTTTCTTTCAATCAAGTTCTTTTATTTCAAACAAAAAACTAGCAGCAAATGCACACAATGTCCTCTCCCAAGCCTGCTTGGCCAAATGGGCAGAAGGAGTCGGACAGAGGAAGATTCCAAGTTCTCCCAGCCTGGGCCAAGGCCTTGGGTACCTTATCCTCATGGAAAATTCTATCCTGGGACGGGTGCCCAGGAGGCTGCCCACACAGCCCTGCAATTAGGGCGACAATAGCGACAGCCTGTTGCAGGGAGGGCTGCTGTGTCCCCTCCCTCGCTCCCAGGAGGAGCATGTGTAAACGATTAAGCCGGTTTGTTTTCTCCAGCATGCTTGGGAGGAAGTGACATTGACGTCCTTGTGGCCCAATGGCAGGGCCAGTGCCTCCGTGGGAAACAGGTCCCCAGCGTTTTCCGAAGCTGGTGTTTTTGGGACCTACCTTCTAGGCCCCAACCAGAGCCTTCTTCCCAGGGTGACCCCATCCCTGCTGCCAGCAGCCCCAGCCTGGCGATGCTCCGTGGCACCCTCCCTTTGGATTAGAAATAGAAAGACCGCTGTGCCCCCCTCTGAGCTCTGGAGCACTGGCCAGTGCCTGGGCTGGCCTGTCACTTGCTATTGGTTGAGTGCTTCTGGGGAGGAAAGAGGCCTGCTCGGCTGCCCTGCCGGGAGGGCACTGCTCTGGCCTGGTGGGCCGGCCCTTGGCTGGTGCAGATTCCTGGGGTAGGGGGAATGGTGAGCTCCTCACGCTCTTGTCTGGGTGGAAGGGCAGGCCAGCATCTTCCCAACACCTCTGCCCGGCAGGTCCTGCTTCCAGGGTCTTCTTCCTCCCCGGCACTTCTGTGTGCCTAAGCCCAATCCTGGCGCCCCTAGCCTCCCTCGGCTCCCTCAGCTCATCATCCGATCATTAACCTGTGCCCCTGGTGTGTCTGGGACACCTCCCACATCTGCGCTCTCTGTCCCCATCTGGTCCAGGCCGCTGCCGCCCCTCCTTGGACATCTGCCCTGGCCTCTGCAGTAGTCTCTCTGCCTCTGCTCCTAGCCCTATGGCCACTCCTCCACACAGAACCTGGGGTGGGGGTGTCCCTCCACCCAGCCAATCCCCTCCACGGCTCCCCACTGGCAAGACATCCAACTTCTAGATCTGGCCACGCAGGCCCCACAGGAGCCAGCCTCTGCTTCTCTCCACCTTCATCCTGCATCAAGAGATCCAGCCCTGCAATTATCCCACTGGCCCAGAGAAACAGCTTTTGGCTTGCTTCCCCCAGGGCCTTCACACACACTGTTCCCTTAGCCAGAAACAATGTTCTCCCCCACTCTCTTTGTGCGGCAAACTCTTCACCCTTCCAGGACTCCTCTTCCAGGAAGACTGCCCAGATGTCTTAGACTAGCTTTGGGGCTCCCCGTGTTTGGCATGGCCTCTGCAGCAAGGGACCCCAGGTCAGTTCTCTGCTCTCTCCTCTAGGCCCAGGGCAGAGCCCTGGCACACAGCAAGCATATCATATTTGTTCACAAATATGTCACAAATTTGTTCACAAATTTGGCACACACATGTCATATTTGTTCAGTGAATGAAGGGTAAGCGGGGGCCCAGAAATCACTTAGCCAAGGCAGAGGCCAAACTAAGCCAGACAATACAGCTCTGGCTGCATCCAAACCACTCACCACCCTCTGCCCCCCACCCCAGTCCAGGGCACAGGTGTCTCCCCCTCTCTGGCTCTCATAGTCAGGCGAGCCTGAGCCCCCTTCAGACAGCAGAATACCTCCTCCCCACGCCTTCACCCTCGTCGGTGCCCCATACTCTGCTGCTGACAGAGTCCCAACTGTCCAGCCGCAAGGAAGTCACATGGTGAGCGTCCTGGGGCTTGTTTGCACATCTGGAAAGGGCAAAGCTCAGCTCACAGGAACTCAGTATTCAGGGTGAAATCACAGACAAAGTGTGGAGAAGAAGATATCAAGGGGATGGGAGGGATGGGGGATGGGGAGGGGTCCTCACTTCACTCATAGTTAGAATTACCATACCTCCTAAAACAAAAAAACGGGGACTGTCCCTCACACAAGGACCATGATAAGGCTTTGAGGTGTTTGAGGTCATCTAGGAGATGTGGCCCACAGTGGGGAGGGCTGACACCTTGGGGCACTTTGCTGCAGCATGGGCAAGGCAGACCTTGGGAAAAGAGGTCCAGCTGATTGACTCCATCGGGTGTGATTGCTGTGTCAGTACAGGGCCCTCACCGGGAAGGGCTGGTCATCTGTGCTCTCTGGGGATCAGGGAGTGCCGTCCTACTTCTTAGGGGCCGGTTGAGGTCACTATCCAGACAGAGATGACTCTGAACTTCCCCCAGAGGGTGTGTACCCACAGAAGGAGTGGTATGGGGGCAGGGGGAAAAGGCTGGCTTCAGACCACTCCCTTCACCCCAGCTTTCTGCAAACTCACTGTAAGTGATGTCATTAGCTGGTGGTGTATGTGTCCTCTGTCACCCCCAGTTATCATCTACCAAAAGGCAGGGGGTGGGTACTTGGACAAGGTCTTTTGGTGTCCTTGGCTGTTAGGAGCACTCCTCTGTCCTGGGAGGCCACCTGGGACCCCCCACTCTGCACACCCACTTCCTAGACCATCTGCCTAGGGCCCCCTATAGTCAAGTGCCCAGGAAGGTCCCACACCCTCTGCATGCCCGGAGATAAGAGATTTAATTGCAGCATCTGCACCCTCCTCCCACAGTCTGGCTAGCCCAAAAATCCATGGTCACCCGCCCTGCCTCCCACCATAGGGCAGGGACACCCCCTGTCCAGACAGGGAAGGGATCCTGTCCTGAGTCACACAGCAGGGTTTCTCCCAAACACCTAGGTGTGGGTCTCTGTTCTCCTAGCCGACTTCCCATCTGTGGGGCTCTGCAGGGCGACCGAGGGCTTCGTTCACAAGAAGGTTCAGACGTGAGGGCATCTGGCCCTGCCACAGCTGTGGGTCCGAGCCGGGCCCAGAGCAGTTCCTGTGGCTGCTGCAGGCTAGGGCAGGGCCCCAGAAGGCCATCCCTCACTCAATTGCTCTGCTGCCCTCACCCATGCTCCCTCAAATTTTGGGGGGCTTAAAATTTTTTTTTTTTATTTCTTAAAGACAAAAGCTTTTCAGTTTTAATACACAAAATCGATGCAGTCCTTGGTGGGCTCCTGTTCTGCCTCTGGCCAACTCTTCCAAAGGTCAGGGGCCAAAGTCTCCCACGGCTGCAGACCAGGGGCTGAGCCAGGCTCCTGGCATCCCAGCAGCCTCTCGGGCCCAGGAGTCTGGATTGGAGAGAGGGGGCAAGAGAGCCCAAGCAGCCTGTCCCAGAGATGGCGGACAGGAGAAGGTCGCCTCCCTGCACGTCTGCCCTCTTGGCCATGGTTAGGCCAGGAGGCAGCTGGGTCCTGGTGGCCTGGCCATCAGTTCACCGTGGGCACCTGGCTGTGGTGCAGGCTGAACTCTTTGGCCTTGAGACGGAGGCTGGCAATGCTGTTGGCCATGTTGACTCCCGGGGTCGCAGGGCCCGAGCCTCCAGGGCTATACGGTGGCACTGTGCTGGGGGTGACAGAGGTAAAAGGACATGCAGCTGCAGCTGGCATGCTGCCCAAAGCTGACTACTTCTGGCTGCCAGCCCTGGGCCCTGGCCTCTGGTCCCCCTGCCTCCCCACCTCAGTTTACTTTCCTGGGAAGCCCTCCCCCCAGGGGCAGGACATAACTTGGGAGCTGTAGGATTTGGGTTAGAGTCAGAAACACCCACAGATGGCACTGGGCCACAGGACAGCCCCTGCGGGTTTGTAGGCCTCCCTCCCTGGATCAGGAGCCTCCTGAGGGCAGAGCCTGGGTCGTGTTCACCCCCAGTCTTGCGCTGGGCCCTGTGCACAGCGGGGTGGAGATGGTGTGAACATGTACTTGTACAGAGGATGCTTCTCAGTAGTGCTCTTGCTCCAGGTAAGGATGGGGCAGGAGAGCTGGCCACCACAGGCAGCATGAGGACTCTGACCCCACAGGCCCACCTGCTGGATCTTGCCTCCCACAAGACCAGGGCTCCAGCAGAGTGCCTCACACAGATAAGGGACTGGTGGTGCCCCCTGGAGTTGTGGGTACAGAAACAGAACTCCCTAGCACCTCTTCCCTCTTCCTGCCCTGCCACCTTTATCCAGCTTTGACTATGGCAAAACTGCCCTGACTTTGGCTCTGGACCCCAGCCATGCCCTCTGAGATGGGGAGGCCATTCCCTCAGCTCTCCTGGCTGAGGAGGCCTGCACAGGGTGCTGGGGCTCTGTGCCAGCCCAGAAATCTTCCTCCTGGTTTCTAGTGTCCTCAAGGTGACATGAGTTCTTTGCTTCCCCTCCAGACAGGCTTTATCTTCTTGCCCCTACACATTCACATGCACAATCATGCACATGCATATTCATGCACACATAAGCACGTGCATGCACACTCACAATCACATGCATATATTGCTATGAGAACACACTTGTGTGCACATGCTCATGCTCCTCCAATACACACACACGCATACACTCATGAGCACACACGCACCGGCTACACACTGCTCGGTAGGCCCTGGCTTCAGGGGTGCCTGGGCACCACTCACAACTCCCTCCAGAGCCTCCAAGAAGTCTGGACCCTGAGTGGCCCCAGGCCTCCCTGCTGGAAGGGGCTCCACTCTCACCTGTAGGGGGACGAGGTGGTCCAGGACAGGTAATCTGGACTCAGGGCTGTGGGCCGGGGAGCCACAGGCTGTTCGATGGCGGCCTCCTGGCTGTAGGACTTGAGCAGCGTGGCGGAGCGGTTGGCCAGCATGGCCCTCTCATTTCGGCGGAACTTGGCCCTGCGGTTCTGAAACCAGACCTGGGGGCGGGGGAGGCGTGTTGGACGGGGTGCAGCAGGCTGCAGAGGGGACCCACACCCTGGTGGATGTGGGATGTGCCCCCTGCGCCACCAGCTCTGGACTGCCAGCTTCACCTCGGCCGGGGGTTTCCTTATCTGTAAAAGGGGGATGATCCTGCTGGGGGGTGAGCACACCTCAGAGACCGGGGAGGAAGGAATGAGAAGGCAGGCGAGCACTTCACCTACAAAGCACTGGCTCAGGGCCGGGGCAGAGCAGCATTTAACACTTTAATGTGACTCTGATTTATCAAAACCCTTCGCCAGGCACTGTGCTAAGCACTTGACAAATATGTTAACTCCTCTCATTCTCAGAAGGACTCTATAAAATAGGCCCACGTGATCCCCACTTGACAGGGAGGATACTTTCACCACAGAGAGGTTGAGGGACCCGCTCAAGGCACACAGCTGGTGAGGGGCCGGCCTTGGATTTGAACCTCAGTCCTATGGGGCTCAGATACTCCTGCTCTTAAATGCCTCCCCCCACCCCCCAGCAGCTCCGTTGCCCCAAGTGATAGGTGGCGGTGTGCTCCCACGGGGTGGGGTGGGAGTGGAGTGGGGTGGGTGGGGGTGCGATGGGATGGGGGTTTGATGGGGTGGGATGGGGTGGGGTGGGGTGGGGGATGGGATGGGGTGGGTGGGGTGGGTGGGGTGGGTGGGGTGCCCCCAGTGCGCAGCGCTCACCTGCACGCGCGCCTCGCTGAGGTTGACACGCCGGGCCAGCTCCTCGCGCACGAAGGCGTCGGGGTAGTGCGTGCGCTCGAACACGCGCTCCAGCGCCTGCAGCTGGCTGCTGTTGAACGTGGTGCGGTTCCGCCGCTGCTTCTTCTTCCGCTTGGCGGCGCTGCCGCGCCCTGGGCTGGGGCACTCACCTGCGGGGCGGAGTGGGGGGGACGGGAGGGTCAGCAGGTTGGTTGGCCGCAGGCGAGGCCCCTGCCCTGAGCCCCAGGGTGCGGAGGTGCCAGCGCCCACCGGCACTAGCCGGGCAGTTTGCCCTGAGCGCTCTCTGTGCGTCTCCCCCTCTGCAGATGGATGGTGCGGCTCCCGGAGCAGGAGCAGATCCCTGGAATCCACTCCTTTCATCCCTTCATTCATCCCTTCCTGCCCTCCTTCAACACTTATTTTTTTAAAGATTTTATTTATTTATTTATTTATTTATTTATTTATTTATTTATATTATATTTATTTATTTATTTATTTATTTATTCAAGAGAGACACAGAGAGAGGCAGAGACACAGGCAGAGGGAGAAGCAGGCCCTATGCAGGGAGCCTGATGCGGGACTCGATCCTAGGACCCCAGGATCATGCTCTGAGCCCAAGGCAGGCACTCAACCACTGAGCCACCCAGGCGTCCCAAAGATTTTATTTATTTATTCATGAGAGACACTGAGAGAGAGGCAGAGACACAGACAGAGGAGAGCAGGCTCCCCATGAGGAACCCCATGCGAGACTAGATCCCATAACCGGGAATTGGCCTGAGCCGAAGGCAGATGCTTAACCACTGAGCCACCCAGGTGTCCCCCTTCAATACCTATTAACTGAGCAGTTACTATGTGGCAGGCACAGTGCCCACAAGGAATGTAATAATGAACAAAAACCGTCGGACCTCTAACCTGAAGCCAGGACACAAGTTCCCCCCTGCCAGGAGGGACAACTGACCAGGTCAGGGAGGTCCAGGAGGCACTTGAGTGTCCTCAGCACCTGGCCTGGGCTCTGGGCATGGTAAGCCCTCTGTGGATATTTGTTGTGCAATTAACATAACACATCACAAAGAGCAGTAGGAGTCAGTTGCACTGGGCCACGGCTCACAGACTCCTTAGCACCTGTGATCATTGCTCACGGCAATCCTATATAGACAGGGGGTGCCATGCTCATCACCCCCAACTTACAGAGGGACAAGGGAGAGGGATTCAGGGAGGCCAAGGCCTCTGGCAAAAGTTCAAGCACCCAGTGGTAGAGAAGGGATTTGAACCATCAGCTTGGCACCAGAATCTTGGTCTTGTTCACCAAACTTGCCAGCTGCTGAGAGCACAAGGCAGAAAGACATGTTAGAGCACCCTGAGCACCCAGTATGGGCCAGGGGCTGTGCTGGGTACTGGGGAGAGATGGAGCAGATTGAGGGAGGCTGGCCCCAGGATAAGACACTCAGTGGCTTACGACAAAGGTCACACCAGGGTGGCCAGGGTGCGGAAGGATACTCGGCTCTGGTGAGCGAGGGGGAGATGACCAGGGGAGGCTCCTCAGACAGGTGGTGCTTTGAACTGGATCTTGAAGGAGGTACAAGAACTTTCCAATCAGATCAGAGAGAGGGAGGGAGGAGGGCACTTGAGTCAAGGCACAAGAGGTGGAAATGACCAGGGGGTGAGTCCCAGCGGAGGAGCTGACCACGGGTCCATGCTGGCCTCTGGTGCAGAGTCAGCAACTCAGGTAAGGATGCCCAGCATAACCCTGGGGAAGGCCTGGGGTCAGCAAATATTACCTTTTAGACCCGTCCTCTCCCTGGAGGGACAGGTCCGGAGAGCTTACAGACACTATTGCCACATTTCAAATTTATTGAGGGGCAGAACTTGACTCTTTGTCCCCAAGGGCCCAGGTCATTGCCCACTCCTCCAGGGGGCCCTCCTGACCACCTGGGCCTCCTGACCCACCTGGGTCCACGTGGGATCCCCTCCTGCACTCACCCAGCACACATGCAACACCGCCACGTTCAGCACTTCCTTATGTATCTGATTTTATTAAAAATGTATGTTTTAATAACTAAGTAATGTCACTGCTTGTCACAGTAATAGATTCATATACCAGAGAAGGGTAAAAAGTAAAACAAAATACTCCCCTCTCCCCAGCTCCACTCCCCATGCTTTACAAGATTACAAATGCACATTTTAAAAAATTTACAAGCATGAGATCATGCTGAACACATTGGTGCTTCAACTTGCCTATTTTCGCTTGATAATATTCCAGATACCATTCCATCTCAGCACAACAAACGTAACCTTCTTTATTTGGATTGTTCCCCACACTCTCTTTTCTGTCGTGTTCCCTCCCTCCACCTGGAGGAATTGATTTTTTTAAGGATTTTATTTATTTATTCATGAGAGACACACAAAGAGAGGCAGAGACACAGGCAGAGGGAGAAGCAGGCTCCCTGTGGGGAGCCCAAAGGGGGACTCAATTCCAGGACCCCGGGATCACCCCCTGAGCTGAAGGCAGGCGCTAAACCACTGCGCCAGCCAGGGATCCCAGGAACTGATCTTTTAAAGCAATTCTCGCTTTATCCTCCCAGCCAGCATAGATTTTTTGCAAATATAATAAAATACATATATTTTCTCCCCCTCATCTATCAGAAAGGAGCATACCATGTACTGCTCCGCACATCATCTTTTCCTACTTAGCAGCAGAACCCAGGGATCCTTCCATCCCATGCATAGAAATCATTCACCCTCCTTTCTATAGCGAGTGGTTTATATGCCAGCCATGTATGGGAAGGTCTGTTTTGCTTAGTTAGGACAACAGAACATATTGTCAAGCTTTTGGGATTTAGTCCATACCTTGTATTTTTGCTTTCCCAGTTATACATTCCCAAAGCACTTGGCTGGGGGATCGCCCCGTGGTTTGTTCCACCGGAGTTCTATTGATGGGCACTCGCAACGTTTCCAATCCTTTGCAACTGAAAGGATGCCAGTGGAGAACCTCATGCAAACATGATTTTCTATTTTTGCCAGTGCATATTTGGGACAGATTCATAAAAGCGGGATTGCTGGGCCAGTGAGAAAAATACTAGAAGTGGCCAGAATCTGCACCCCGCCCCCAGGCTTCCCACCAGTGGTGTTTCGCCTGGTTTGGACAGCAGAACATATTGTCAGCCTTTTGAAGTTGAGTCCATACCTTGCATTTTTGCTTCTCCAGCAACACATTCCCTTAACACATCCAATGTTCTTTGCACAATGCTGGGCATTTGCTTTGCTAAGCCTCTAGAACATTCCAGGCCCAGCGGTGGATACTCCTCAATCCCTGCTTTTAAATAAGGTCCCACATTAGCAGGGTTAATTGACCCTTGAGCAACCAACTGATTCAGTTTGAGGCGGAAACGTTCCAGGAGACTGGTAAATAGTGATCATGGGAGCAGATGGGGGGTCTCATCAGGCAGGACTCAGGGCGGTGCCTGGGAAAAGATGACTTTACATCTGAGTTTGACCCAGGAGTTCTCAACTGGGGGCAATCTGCCTCCAGGGGACACCTGACAGTGTCTGGAGACATTTTTGATGGTCAGGACCCTGGGGCTGGAGGTGCTATGGGGATTGAAAGGGTAGAGGCCGGTCAGCCCTTCAGGACAATGACAGGCCCCCACGCCGAAGAATCATCTGGTTCACGATGCTCGGAGCTCTGGGCTAGCAGGATGCTCAAGAAATGTTGCAAACACAGAATGGGGTGTGGGGGCAGTGGCAGGGAATGCGAGTGGCCCCAAGGGAGGCGCCTCGTCCCCTGGCTGGGCTCCAGCCTTCTCTCCTCACCCCTTTCCTCCAAGAAAAGGCGAAGATGGATGAGAATGTCTGGTGCCTGCGAATGTCTCCCTGCCCCGCATCCCTGTCCCCTGGAGGGAGAAGAAGGCTAAACCAAAACAACAAGGGCCCATGAGCTGAAAACCGGGTGGTGGTCAATAGCCCAAAAGCAGGACGGAAGTTTCTGGAACACTAGCCATCCCAGAGACGATTTCCGTCCCCCTCCAGGCAATGCTGTTTGGGCACGCACCCAATGCGGGAGGCATTTCAGCCAAAAAAGGAGACTTTTTCGAGAAGTTTCTGAGCAATTCAAAACTGAGGGTGTTTAAATGAAAACCATTTCAGAGCCTTCGCCCCGCCAAGTGGGCGCCGGAAGAAACAACCCAGCTCTCTCTGCCAGTTAAACTGTGTGACTTGGAGCCGAAATCTTCATGCAAAGGCGTTTATCACCGGGGCCCCCCCAACAAGCCCAGGCCTCCCCCACAAACACCAGCTAGGCTCCCCGCAGGTCTGGGGTCCGCTCTCTCCGGGGTCACATCAGGGCAGCTCTGATGCGGGATGCTCAGCAAACACTGATTTGGCAGGCCCACGAGCGGTGCCAGGTGCCACACATGCTTCCACCCACTGGATCTCTGCTCCCACCATATGAGGTGTTACCCCACTTCACACGTCGGGAAACTGAGGCTGAGCTTGTACCTCTGGGTGGGAATTCTTGTTTGTCAGAAGGCTCAGCCAGCTCAGGCTGTGGGGGTCTCCTCCCTCACCCAACCTGCTCCTGGGGGAGGTGAGACAGTCCTGGCTCTAGGAGGCCTCCAGCCTCACAGCACCTCCCTGATGCAGAAATGCCCCTGGGCCCCCATCCTCAGCACCTCTTTGTTCCAAAGGAAGACCTCCCCTCTGGGAGCTGGGAGGGACAGCAGCTTACCCAAAGTCACACTCATGCCCAAAGAGCAGAGTTTGACTCAGTGCCAAGAGCATAGTAATTGCACAATAAATGGTCACTGCCCTTAGCATCGGTGCTTATGTGCAAATGGCTTCATGGCCGAGGTCAAGGGTCTTTCTCCAAGGGCCCTTGGGTCCCCTGGCCCCAGCCCCGACGTGGAAAGGCAAATCCAAAGTCTCTGCTTCAGGCAGAGGCTGAGATGCAGGCGAGGCTGAGGACAGCTGGAGCAGCGTCCTCACAGTGACCCAGGACTCGAACCCACGGGCTGGCCTCTGCTTCCTGGCGGATGTGCTGGCCATTTGTGACCTGAAGTTCCTGCGTCACCTCCTGAGAAATGTATCCTGGTGGGCGTGTGTGTCCCCCTGGGGGCTCTGGGCTGGGACTTGAAAGCATTTGGAAAAGAAATAAATACTCACTAAGCCTCCGGCCAGAGATTGCTGGGGCTCCACTCTTTCCAAGTCAGGCTGTGCCCCAAATTTCCTTTTGTTCAGGAAAGAGTCCTGCCTTTCTCCTGGGGTTCAAAATAAAGCCTGAAACCGCCTGCATTTTCACAGGCTGCTCAGGTGCGTGGTGAGGGGCTGGATGGGGCCCGGTCTGCCGTCCTCTCTCCCTTCAAACCAAATTACTTGGTCCCCGATTACATTACAATACAAAAAAATGACTTGTGCACAGTTTTCTGCCATTAAATTATTTCACACATACCATTTATTTGGCTGACTGCAAGCCAAAGACGTTTAAAAACCCTGCTCTCGGCCAAATGATCAAGTGTTCCTGGCTCCTCTCCCCTGCACCCATGGTTTTTCTTATTCCATGTGATTTAAGGGTCTAAATAGTCTGGAGGGAATTAACTGCAAATTCTTCCTAAGACAAATAAACCCGGCCTCTTCATTTCTGCCTTTCTCAAGCCGTTGAGAGACACTCTCTGTTTGTTTTTGCTTCAAATAGTCAGTTTGCGCCTGACCCCAGGGCCGCGGCGAGCTCCAACCCAAATAAATAACTTTTATTAATTAGCATCTATTCTGACCAAATAATCAGCCCCCTCTCCCCCCTCCAACGTGATCTCTGCCAACACGTTCACAAAAATAAACAACGGGTCCCCGGGACCTTGATGTGGATTTAACAAATTAACACCGGGCCTTGGTCAAAGGAGCTCCAAGCTGCAGAAATATTTACAGCCAGGAAAGTCTGAGGAAGGAAGTGGAGGTGGAGGGCCCAGAGGGGCCTGCAAAGGCTTCAGCGCCCACCCCCAGGTCTTCTGGAAGAGACGAGGGTTCCTTTGAAGGACCCCTGGTTCTCCTGTGTCTCGGGCTCAGGCAGGAATTCTGGAAACCGTCCTCGGGCTGCCACTGAGTGCCACCCGGAGGGACCTGAGGGTATTAGCTCTCACCTCTTGGGGTGAGAAGAGAGAGGCAGTACTGTCCAGTGGTTAAGAGGCCCCCCCCCCCAATCACCAGCAGAGTGGCTGAGGGCAAGCCTTTGAACAGCTCCCAGCCTCCAGAATCTCACTGAAAAACGAGAATAACAGAGGCTACCTCATTAACCTACACAGGGGCTCTTAGCCTGATGTTACAGATAAGGAAACTGAGGCTCACAGGGTTAAGCAGCATGTCAAAGCTGTATGACTGGTAAAGGCCGGGGCTAGGATTTGAACCTGCGGATGGGCAAGGAGCCCAAGCTTGTAACCATCTGGGCACAGGGCACCTGGTCCTAGGAGGGCCTGCATCCCCCGACCTCCGTTCCTTCTTCAGGGAGGTTCTGAGGGTCTCTCTGTGGACTTAGGGTGAATGGGACCACCAGGAGGAGGGAGGCCGAAGGCCACAGAGGTGTTTCTGGAGCTGTGTGGGGTGCATGCTGGAGGCAAAAGCGTGCAGCCTGCCCAGCCTGTGAGACCTACCAGGGCAGGGCCAGGGTGAGGCATGGCACGGAGTCAGGCCAGCATTGGGAGGAAGAAAGGAAGGAATGACAGGAGGGAGGAGGAAGGAGAAGAAACATGGTCCCCAGAGCCTTCTGGAGAAGAGCTTCCCTAGGCAGCCAGCCGCACTCCAGCCAGGATCCCAAGCAAGGGGCATAAGAGCTGGTTTCATGTCCAATCAAGCTGGCCTTGGTCCCTGACACTGAGACCCAAAGGAGGGGCTCAGGTCCTCTAGTGAGATCACACAGGCAGGCTTCCCAGCATCACCTCCCTGGAGGTCCCCAGCAGCCTCGGAGGGGCAGGCAGGGCTGTCTCTGTCTGAGAGAGAGAAGACAGAGGGAAGCCCAGAGAGGATTCAGGACCTACCCAGGGTCACACAGCAAGGAAAGCCCATCCCCTAGCCCTTTCTTTTCTTGATACATCCCTGGTAACCAGTTGCCAGGGATAATGGAGAGAGGAGGTAGCCCCAGCCCCCACCCCCAGCCCCCAGCCCAGCCCTGGAACAAATCTGATGGTGAACACAACGGAAGGATGGAGGCTTTCTCTACAGGGCCTTTCTGGCTCTACCCCCTGGATGGGCCCGGAACTCAGGAGGGCTCAGGACTGCTGTCCCGAGTTTGTGGCCTCCTCGAGGTCGGTACTTGCACTGGACACGCACATCCCTCACAAGTGGACTTCTGTGCATACCATTCCTGGGCTTGCAACTCCTCCTCTCTCCCTCCCTGACTCACCTGCGTGTCTCAGTAGAATGCCACCTCCTCCAGGAAGCCACCCCAGAACCCCCGTCGTAGCTGTATCATACTGTAGAGTAAATGTGGGGTCATTTGTCCAACAGAGACTGGAACTTACTGGTTCTTTGGTCTCTCTGGAACCCATCCCGGGCCTGGCTTAAGGTAAACTCCTCACAGATATTTTCTGAGTGTTGAGTAAATGCATGAATGAACAACCTGGGCCTGTCGCACCCACACACCCCCAGGTCAGTGACTGGTGTGGTTACAAGGGGGCCTAAGCAGGCTTGGGCTGGCCCTAGAGTCTGGAGGAGGCTAAAGGAGGCTCCCACAGTTCCTTAGAAACTTCAGCAGAGCCATGCTGGGTCTCTCTGGATCTTTCCATGCACAAAGGCCATGGTGTGCTGCATACACTTCCATAGGATGACTGGACCCCCCAAGAAAACCCAGTGGAGGGGCCAGGCACTGGTGGGATCTGCTTTACCAGACAGAATGAGCTCCTACCCACCTCAGGGCCTTTGCTCAAGCTGTACCCTCTGCCTGGAGCACTGCACCACTTCTGTCTGACTCAGCCTTACCCAGGTTTTAGTCTGAGCCTAAATTCCCTGCCTTGAGAGACTTTCCCAGCACCCAGGCCAGGCCAGGCCAGGCCAGCTTTCCCTGTTACAGGCTCCTGGGCCCTCTCCCTTTCCCACACAGCTGTAATTAAGCCATTCTTCTGTTTTGGTTATCTACTCCGTGCTATTTCTTCCATTTAACTCAGCTCTTAGGAAAGCAGGGACTGGGTTTGCCTTGTCACCTTATTATCACCAGGACCAGGCAAGAAGTTTGGTTTCAAAAATATTTATGATTGAGTGGTTATATAAATGAAGGAATGCCTCATTCCAGAAAATAACGTGAAGTCCCGACTTCCAAAGCCAGTTTGCCTTCCCCTCCCAAAGGCCAGACTATGGTTACTTAGATGTGACACCCAAAGCATATGCAACTAAAAAGAGAAAGATCAATCAGACTTCACCTAAATTAAAACTTGAGTCAACACCAACACAAAAGTAAAAAGACAACCCACAGAATGGGAAAAATGGACACAAGTCATGTTTGGTAAGGGACTTGTATTTAGGAAATATTAAGAACTCTTAAAAGCAACAATAAAAAAACAAGTCATCCAATTAAAAATGAGCAAAGAGTTGGGGGTGCCTGGCTGGCTCTGCCACTTAAGTGTCTGCATCTTGATTTCGACTCAGGTCATGATCTCAAGGTGGTGGGAACGAGCCCCTTGTTGGGCTCCATGCTCATCACAGAGTCTGCTGGAGACCCTCTCCCTCCCCCTCCGCCCCTCCCCTCATGCATGCTCTCTCTCTCTAAAATAAGTAAAATAAGTCTTTTTTAAAAAAAATGAGCAAGGCATCTGAATAGACATTTCTCCAAAGAAAATATATCAATATGCCAACGGGCATTGGAAAGGTGCTCATCATTAGTCATCAGGGAAATGCAAATCGAAACCACAATGAGACAGCCCTTGACACCCAGCACCATGGCTAGAATCAAAAGACGGATAATAACAAGCGTGGGCAAGAATGTGGAGAAATCGGAACTCTCGTGCACCACTGGTGGGAATATAAGGTGGTGGTGCAGCCACTTTGGAAAAGATTCTGGAGGGTTTTCAAGATGTTAAATATGGTTACCATCGGCCGCAGCGATTCCACCCACAGGTACATACCCAAAAGAAGCGAGACACAGAGCCCCACAAAAACTTGGATACGAATGAATGTTACTCGTAATGGCCCAAACTTGGAAACACCCCAAATGTCCATCAACGGATAAATAGGTAAACAAAACGTAGTCTGTCCACACAAGGGAATGTTTTTTTGAGTGTAAAAAGGAATTAAGTGCTGACTCATCCTACGACATAGACAAACCCTTAAAAACATTACTTATGTTTAAAAATATCATGCTAAGTGAAAGAAGTCGGTGCCATCCATGAAAGGTCACATGATGCATGATTCCAATTTTAAGAAATGTCCAGGGGTGCCTGGGTGGCTCAGTGGTGGAGGGTCTGCCTTTGGTTCAGGTAGTGATCTCAGGGTCCCGGGATCCAATCCTGCATCAGGCTCCCCTCGGGGAGCCTGCTTCTCCCTCTGCCTGTGTCTCTGCCTCTCTCTGTGTCTCTCATGAATCAATAAATAAAATCTTTAAAAAGAAAAGAAAAAAAAAGAAATATCCAGAACAGGTAAATCCATAGAGACAGTGGCTGTTCAGGCCTGGGGCTAGGGAAGGGTGGCATCGGGGAGGAAGGGTGATGATTAAGGCTGGCAGGGTTTTTTAAGGGGGGCTGCTGACGGAAATGCTCTAAAATTGTGGTGACGGTTGCACAACTGAATATGTTAAAAATCACTGACGTGTACACTTTAAATGGGGGAACTGTATGGTATGTGAATTTTATCTCAATAAATTGTTCTATAAAAAGAAGTAGTGGCAGACAGAGCCACTGGGATTGGCAGAGATGGCACGGAAAGGAGCCCCCCCCTGGATATGCGAGGGGCTCCGGGAGGGGCCTGAGAGTAGGGCACAGAGTAGGCTAAAGCCCAGATGATGGCTCAGCACGGCCAGTTCAGCCCCAGAGCCTCTCTGGGTCTCGGTCTTTGGGGAGTCCCTCAGTGAGGAAGCTGCTACCAGGCGGGGTTCTTGGGACAGAACGTCTCCACTGTGGGGGCTGCCATAGCAGGCCCCCCTGGGGAGGTCTGGTGATGGATACAGGGGAGGACAAAACTTCTCTGGCCCAGGAGCCTTTGAACAAAGGGGGTCATTGGGCCAAGGCGGGAGCAGAGACAGGATATCTGTGTCCTATTCTCAGGCCCAGAAAAGGGCCAGGAGGTCAAGGCCAGCTATAGCTGACCACCTCAAAGTCTCTGGATTTCCCGAGCCTCCCCTCGGGCCTCCCAGGCCTCTGGGCTCTGGGGCCTGGCCGCCTCTGGCTACAGCAGCCCGAGAGCCACAGGTTCAAACTTCCAGGCTCCTCTGGCCACATCTGTGGTTGGCCCAGCCTTCTCCCCTCCTCAGACCCCGAAACCACCTCCAGAGAGTTGGGGGCACCTGGCTGAAGTGGGGGCTCAGGGAGGAGATGGGGATCAGGAAGTCACTCAGGAGGAAGAAGAGCAGCCCTCTGCTCAAAAACTGGTCTAAGAGGAGGTTAGCGTCTGTCCGTCTGGTTTTAATCTAAGGCTGGTGGCCAAATGCCAAATTTATTGTAAGACCTACATTTTAATAAGGGGTTGGTATTTGGAGGAAAGCTGCCCTCGTTAACCATTTCCAGACTGGAGTGAGGTTGCTGCTCAGGGGCCAGTGTGGGGTCTCACCTCCCAGCAAGGCGCCTGCGAGCCTCTCAGGCCTCTCAAGGCCTGGAGCCAGCACCTGCTGGGAGTCCGAGAGCGCGGCTGGCCAGGGAGAGACATGTTCCGATTTCCCGCAGCTTGGTTCTGAAGCAAACCCGCAAACAGCTCTGGGGCTCAAGCCTGTGACTCTTGTCTTCTCAAGGACTCAGACCTGAAGGGACCTTACAGACCATCTGTCAAAGCCCTTTCTTTTTGCAGATGGGAAAACTGAGGCAAAGAGGGGACACAGTGGCTGGCCCAAGGGCTCCCAGCAAGGAGGGGGGGATCCCAAGTTCTGCCCACTGTGGTCCCACCCTTGAGGATTTGCCTCCTCTCTGCTCCCTCCATCCCTAGGTCCCTGGAGGGGGTGAAGGATGGGGGAGGACCCACAGCAGCTGACCTTTGACAGAGCAACTGGGCATGCTTGGGAGCAGAGGGGGACAGGCAAGCAGCAGCCCACCCAGAGAGCAAATGACTGCTTCCCCCTGCCCCTCCTGCATCTGAGACTGGGGAAAACCCCCTCCCCCTTCCTCTTGGGCCCTCACTTTCCCCATCTGTGCAATGGGGAGACCACAGTTACAATCCCCCCCAATTCAGGGTGACACAGAGAGGACCAAACAGTCTAGGGCTTTCCTGAGTACATGCTAAACACGGTGGGGCTCCTCACAGACAACCGGGTTCTCCCCACTATTATTCTTTCCCAAACGAAACCCAGGTCCTGGCTCACTGGTCCTTCCCCTCTTTCGCGCGCGAACCCCTTAAGGAATCTGAGGAATTCTATGGGTCCCGGCCCCAGAAAAACACAGGTGCACACACAGTTTTGCCTGGAACTTTGGGTGATTCATAGACTCTCTGAATCCCGTCCCTCACCCTGTAATGTCAGCCTGATGGAAAGTCACATTTCTTCTGCCCCAGGAGAGCCTGCCGCTCTGCCCCCGTTCCACCTTGGGGTCCCCACCGGCCTCCCTCCGGACAGCGGACAGCGAGCAGAGCAGCCAAGAGCAAGGCCAGGCCCAGCAGCCCCTCCTCGGAGGCTGGCTGTGTGACCTGCTGCGCTCCCACAGAGGCTGACCTTTAAAGCATCGCTGGAGGGTTTTTACGACCCGTTTGAGTTCCAGGCACGCTGGAAAATGTGTTTGAGGCTCCGAGGAGCTCTAAGGGCCGTCCTGAGTGTTCCCGCCACAGCTGGGCCTGTGGGTGAGGACAGAGGACTCCTTCCTCACTCCTCCCCCCTTTATTTCCCTGTTTGGCTCCCATTTACTAAACTTTATGACAAGCCTGGCACTGGGGTATAGAGTCCTGCCTTTTGAAATGCGGAAGGCACTGTCTGTAGCCTTACCCAGTGGGGGACAGTACGGTTCTGAGAGGCGAAGCAACCGACCCAGGTCACACAGCCAGACTGCGATGAAGCAGTGATTTATGCCCAGTCCTGTCTGTCCCCAAAGCCATTGCTCTCTGGAGGAAAGCAGCCCTTGTTAACCATTTCTAGACCACAGTGACATTGCTGCTAAGGCCCCACGTGGATTTTCTCTCTCACTGTGGAGCCCGAGAGCCTCTCAAGGGCAGCAGCCTGCAACTGCTGGGAGTCAGTGTGAGCACTGATGGCTGGGTGCAGAGATGCCCTGGATTTCTGCAGCCTGGTTGGCCTCTCTGCTCCTTGAGCAAATCTCATCCCTCTGCCCACACCTGCCCACCAGGCTCCCAGGTCCTGGTGCCCTCGAGGGCCTGGCGATCCCCTGCCATGTGTCGCAGGGTGGTGCCTGTCTGCATCCCAGCACCCACCAGCCTCCCCAGCAGCATGCACTCTCAGAACCTGGGCACAGAGCCATCTGGGACACGCCTAGCGTGTTCCTGGTCACACCCTCGAACAGCCAACCCTGACTCCAGAAAGGTCCCTGCTACGGTGAGCCATAATCTATAACCCTGGGGGTCCCCCAGTGGTCCGGGGTTCATGCTTTGAGGGCAGCACATGGGGACCCTTTTCCAGCAGGGCTGCTAACACTTGAAGACAGTTTTTCCAGCGCCTTTATGCTCGACTCTGGGAAACTCCCTGCCCCTCTCACCACCCCTGGGGTGACACCAGCTCGTCCTAATTTCTCAAAGGGGTGTCCATTGACCATTTGCTTCAGAACATCAGGGAAGCTTGTTAAAAAGGGACGTTCCTGGGGGCACCTGGGTGGCTCAGTCGGATAAACGTCTGCCTTTGGCTCAGGCCATGATCTCAGAGTCCTGGGATTGAGTCCCACATTGCATTGGGCCCCCTGCTCAGCGGGGAGTCTGCTTCTCCCTCAGCCCCTCCCCTACTCGTGCTCACTCTCTCTCTCAAATAAATAAATAAAATCTTTTTTTTTTTTTTTTTAAAAAGGACATTCCCATCGCATCCTGTGGGATTCCAATCCAGCAGGCCCCAGGCAAGCTGGGAATCTGCAGCAGACTTTCACCCACGAGTTTAGCAACTGTGAGCATCAGGAGAGCAAAGGGAAAAACATGGCTCGACATAAAAAATATCAAAAATACTGATTCACACTCTAGCTCTGCACCATCCCAGGCGGCTACCCGGCTATCCGCAGCCGTCTAAATTTGCATTGATTTGACTGGAATGACAATATAAATCCCGTTCCTCATTCACCCTGGCCACATTTCGAGGATTTGATAGCCACAGGTGGCCAGTAGCTCCCGCACCAGAGAGCATAGATAGAGAACATTCTCACCATTGCAGAAAGTTGTACCGGATGGAGCTGCTCTAGAATTCCAATTTTTCTTCTTTTTTAATGGAAAGGGAACAACCACAACAAAGATCAGCATTAAAGGACATTTGAGAGGAGAAAAATCAT